TATATATATATATATATATATATATATATATATACAGTTACATACTATGAAAATCAAATGTCAGTAATTTAATAACATTTTTATGTACTTTATGATTTAATGCAATACTATTCAACTGGTGGCCCATGGGTGAGCTCAGTTTGGCCCAACAATTGGTTCATTTTTTAAATAAAACTAAATTTTACATCATGAAACAAACTTACTTAATGAGAATATTTGCCCCCTGAACTCTTGACTTTCAGTAACTGTGCCCCCCTGAGCAATTTAGTTAAATAGCCCTGATTTAATGCATTAATTCACAAATTTAGGTTTGGGGCCTCGCTATAGGTTATGAAACAATAAGTGTAGGGCCTAAAGAGGGTTTTCAGACATCAAATAATATGGTTGCTGATGTCACATTTTACAAACAAATAAACAAAGCTAAAAATTAGTTTTGAAAGTTCTCATGGCTGTTTTGACTGTTAGTTTTGGTTTATTTTCTATTTGACTGCTATTTATAAGACTGAGCTGAATACAGCACCTCAGACTGAGGAAGTCTTTTGGATGAAAGTCGAAACGTTTCTACAATTTTTTTATTTTTTTATGTTCAGAGGACAAGATTTAACTTTTTTAGATTTTTTTACCTGGATTATTGAGCATGCATCAGGATATCTGTTGCTGCTTAGTGCATCAAAACCTGAAAAGTTTTGGAACTGCTGAACCCGATTTTCACGTTATTAAATAAAGTGCACATGACTCTTTATCATGAATGGTGATGCTTTTTTGCAAATGCAAGTCAAACATATACACATTGGTACATAAAGGCAATAATCACAATTAGAGCTCATCTGCATAACAAACGATTGTCCCGTTAATATTTATCTGAAAAATGCTCCAAGTATGTAGTTTGTAAATTGTCAAATGACTAAAATTCAAACCAGCTAAAATATTTTTTTACATAAATTTATGATTGAGGTCACATTTTGTCTACTGAAGACAGATCATAAATAAAGAAGGCATTAAATTGTTATATTTGGATCAATTTGACAAAGCAAGGCAGAGCTTGAAAATAGCTCAACCATTTCTTCATGCAGGAGTGACTACAACTTCTTGGGAAAGGAACTGTCTAAGCATCCTGAGATAAAGAATATTTCCACTGTGCTTCCTAATTTGATTGCTCATTGGACTGTAAACAAACAGAAGGCGTAAAAATAAAGCAGCCAATATAAGATCTAAAACACTTGATGCTGTGGAGCCCCTGAAAACTTTTCATGAGCTTCTAAGAAGTTAAAGCTCTCCTTTTAAAATGCACAGGTGGAAAAGTTAGAGCGCAATAAAGTGGACAGAAAGACATCTGCTGAAGTTATTTTGGAAGTAAAATCCACTCAAGTTTCTTTACTAATCTACCAAAGATTAAGAACATCTGCACAAAAAGACAAAATAAAATAAAATTTGAATTAACTATCAGAAAACTTTGTCTAAAGAAAGATGTATGTATTTTTACTTAATAGTTGATGAATGTTGTAGATTTTCACGTATGATGTGGTAGCTTGGTGATTAGTGTCATGGTCCTATAATCTTGAGGTTGTGAGTTTGAGTCCAGGTTGATGATGATTGATAGATGAAGCTTTTCCTTAATTTACACATTTCCCAGGAGCAATTGAATAGTCGGCCTGTTTTCAAGGCTAACTGGGGGAGTTGAATTCAGATAAGCCACTATTTTTTTTTTCAGGCAGACTGTTTTTTCTCGTCAGCCTTACCGGTACTTTCAAGATCCAAAATGGCCAGATTAGGGTGCATTCTACTGGTCCATGCTTACAAGCCCCTCCAAAGTCGTTTCCAACATGCTGGCAAGTCCCGAAGCCGCAGGTGGCCTGTGATTCTCACAAATCACTTGCATCTTACGGTTTAGCTCGTAAATGAGCTGATTTTGAGTCCACAAATCATAAACCAAACCTTCACAAGGAGGCAGCCTGATGAGGGCAAAATTAGCTGCAGCTGTCTTCTTGTATGTTGATAGACCAGGAACCAGCTGATTCCAAAAAGCAGGAAACCTGTTATCATAAATCTGATTGTATGTCTTTGGCGTCATCCTGACAATCTCAGCTGGACATGAGGGCTCTCCAGGACCCTGGCGCTTTGTTGAAAAGATTTTGTCCATTGCGTTGAAAGTCCAGCTGATCAGATCCATAACAGTAGTTTTTGTTTCGGAAGATGTGAAAAATAGGAGCTCCGATACACAGACAGAGCAAAAAAGCAGGAGAACAGGAGAGGGAAGAGAATGCATCCGCCTCGTATGAGAGCAGACGCATTCTCACACTTGAAATATTTTCTCGTTAGAAACCTCATGTTAAAAACATTTTGCCTCCTTGTTAGCTTTAAAATGTTTTTCAAAATAAATTAAGTTGAGTTTGTGCTGAAGCTCAACTCTGTTCACAACAATTTGAAAAAGTGACTTTAGCTATAATTTTTAGAATTAATAAGCAAAATGCGATTTACAATTGATAAGTTTTAGTTTCGAGTTGCTGTGAAAGTGCCTTCTTGTGGCACAAACTGTTTTGTTGTCCCTCTTGAGCTATTCATAGAGTAAATTGAACACTAATCTAAAATCAGGACATGTTGCCTTCAGGCCTCACAATCAACTCTTCTATAAAAAGTCATTCGGCCAGCTCGTCTACCCAAAGCTGCCTGTCAGTCAGGAAGCCAGCCATCTCTCTCAGCAGCTGCTACATCAGGCACTCACTTCCCCCTGTGGCTCATCAGCTTTTCCAAAAGCTCTTCAGCAACAAGCAGCCAACCAGGAAGTTGGCTCTGGCAGCTTCCTCTCATGCAGTCTTTAACCAGCCAGGCCCGTTTGCCCCAAAACACCTGCTGAACCAAAACCAAACCCTCTGCGAGAGTCATGGTCAGCTTCAATTACCTGCAATGATTCAGAATAAGAAAAGTGTTCCAGATTTACACGACTAGAATTTCTTGAAAGAATGCATATCATGTGTAATCTATTAGATTTGGAAAGCCAGAGTTGTAGACAGATCATCCTGAATTGAGAAATGGAGTATTTTGGTCAAACCTTGAATAAAAACAAACGACAAAAAAAAAAACTTTATGGAGTGTTTATGGCTAAACTATTGGAAAGAATATGGTGTTAAAAATGCATTTCCAAGCATCTGATGCATAGTTGGTCAATTTTATCAAATTATGGGGAGTCACTTTAGTCACCAAATGATCACTTGACACATCCCTAGATAGATAACTGAAGGGGAATAGTGTAAAAAAAATTAAAAAGTAATCCGATTTTGTCATTATTAGATATGCTGTGTGGTCATACATTTTGAGAATTTTTATTCTTCTTAGCCAAAAGCAGAATGAGCTGTGTTGAGCCCATGAAACACAGAGCTTACAATCAGCTGCTCTTTAAGGATCATTTGAAACGACTGCAGGATTTATGCAAGAGTCTTCTCTCCAGGCAGGGGCGTATCGGTCTGTGTCTGTACAGTAATTATCCATGGACTAAGGACAAAATGAAAAAGTGTGTGTGTGTGCAAGTTATGGGGGACAGGGTGTGTATAGGATAAAGTTGTGGCATCTACTGTACAGTATCAGACTTCAGTTTGATCTCATGATAATTAGTCTTTGAGTCTGGAAGGTGAAGATAGAGTCAAACAGAATTAGAAAAACCTGCCCTCAGGTAATTATGCAGCTTATTGATGTCCAATATCTAATTTATAGAGCTCTTTGGACTTTTCTAACTCTAGTGGAGTGAAACAATGTTCTAATGTACATGTTTTTTTTTTCTTCATTGTGATGTTTCGTCTTAAGTGACCGAACAGTGCTGTGTTTTAGAAGGATTGCTGGTCACAGCTGGATCATCAGTTTTCACTGTTTGTTGAGAAGAATGCTGGGTTTGCTTTAATGTTTGGTTTTGCAACATGTTCCAACTTGGAATTTCAGAAAGAACTGTGAACAGTCCAGCTTAAATAAGATTTCTGGATCCGAATGCATTCATTGGCATCTTTATACAAATTTAAATAACAGTTGCATCAAGTCCAACGCTATTTTTAAATACTTCTTTTGCAGTGGTTGTTTTTTGATGCTGATTGGCTGCTTGTTTCAGGATTTAAGTCAAACTTTTTGGATAATTTACCGTTAGGTCCTTTTGCAATACTTTATTATTTAAATTTATTTATTTATGGGTGATTAGGGAGCAGAATTGCCAGTCTTAGCTGATCAGAATCAGGATATATTTATCAACCACTATACTTGAAATGACCCATAACAGTGCAAATAAACACAATGGCTGCTCATTAGTCCTGTAGGCAACCCACCAAAATAATTAAAGTTTAAAAAATTGTCAGCAAAAAGGGCTTTGCATCACAATGAGTGATTAAAAGCTGCATAATTATACTGCATTTCCAAATTGTACCAAAGCCAGTTGGAACCATGGGTGAGAAAGATGAATGCATAAAAATATCACAGCATGAACGCCAACCAGTGAAGTTTAATAAACACAACATAAATACATTGTTTTTACACAGAATGTTTTAACAATTTTATTGTTTTTCTCCCTCTTAGCTCATCTCTCTTACCTGTAATTAAAATGTTCCGTCTTTGCAGGTGAATCTTTGGACAGCAGGAGTGCTGCTGGGTCTCCCCGGGGGCACTGGAGCTTCTCCTGGGTGGCTGAAGACGACCTGACGGTGATTTTTCCAAACAGCACTGTATCCAAGTCAGGTAAGTGGTTTGTTGTCCGTCATTTTCAGACAGACCAACAGGCCGAGGTGCCTCCATCCTCCACCGAGTCTTTGTTCCCAATTGGCCTTGACACTTGGCATCAGCCCTCCATCAGCACACATGAGCGTCTTGGTCCCGCCTGCCTTCGATCATCAGCCCTGGCACCGTCACAATGCTCGCTTTGTGCTGATCAGGCTGTCCGTGACCCCCTCAAGGACCCAGATAAATCCAACTTGTTATTGTTACTCATACACACACATCACACACAGTCCTCGGTGATAAAATGAGTGTTAAGTGGTGGGAAAGCGATACAATTCAGCAGAGATGAAGTGAATTCAGATAAAAATAAAAATGTTTAATGAGTTTGACACTACAAGGGCAGAGCAAATTATAAAAGAGAGGATTATGTATGAATTCACTGGAATATTTTTGTTCTCTAAAGCAAATATAAAGCGAGTATGTTTGAAATGGATTCACAATTTGTAACAATTATGGAAATTAGTAGGTATTTTTTTCTATGCAATGCCATGGAAGTGTAGACTAGTCATTTTGGAAATGCAGAAAAAGGTAATGTCTCATTTGCAAAGTTTCTTTGTAATTTATAATGTGCAAAAAATTTAGAACATCTTTTTTTAATTGCTTGCAAGAAGACATACTTTTAAATCTTAAAGTGGTCTTGATCAAAAGCTCTTCAGGTGTTTCTACAAGTCTTTCAAGTAGTTGAGTCTCGGAGGACCTACATGTGCCAATATACATTAGATGACATAAAAAAAAAAGCAACTTATACTTTTTTTTTCTCCCATATTCATAACGCAATTTTTGACTGATGGTTTAAATTTTGAAGAACTGCAACAGCGAGGGGCAGCACAGTGGCACAACTGGTAGAGCTGCTGCCTCTCAGCAAGCAGGTCCCTGGTTCAAATCCCGGTCCAGGGGCCTTTCTGGATGGAGTTTGCATGCTCTCTCCATGCATGCGTGGGTTTCCTCCGGGTACTCCGGTTTCCTCCCACAGACCAAAAACATGCATGTTAAGCTGATCGGTAACTCTAAATTGTTGCTAGGTCTGATTGAGAGAGTCCGTGGTTGTTTGTCTCGTTTGTCTCCATGTGTCCCTGTGATGAACATGCGACCTGTCCAGGGTGTCCCCCGCCCCTTGCACAGTGGCTGCTGGACATGGGCACCAGTGACCCCTGTGACCCAAAATGGAAGAAGCGGGTAAAAGATGGATGGATGCAACAGCGAGTCCCCCCCATGTGCGCTCGCTTCACTCAGTTGGGACAGGCAGAGGAACGCTGGAAAGCTAGCAGCTCTGGCTGTGATGGATGGATGGATGGTGCAGCGCCACTCAGGCGAAATTAAGCTATTTTGACCATTAAATATATGCATAATAAATGTGACTTATAAGCGGAAGCGACTTATATGCTTTTTTCCTCTTTATCATGCTTTTTTTGACTGATGCGACTGCAACTTATACTCCGGAGTGACTTGTATGCCAGAAAATACGGTATGTAAACTAGTGTGGGATATTACATGATGTGTTTCAGCTTAGAGTACCACATTTCAATGCAGTATGTTAAGTTCTCTATACATGGACATCTTTGTTTGTTTGTTTGTTTGCCAGACTATGGCTGATATCTTGGATTGGGTTGACTCCAATGGATAACTTAGCTTTTTTTTACTTTCTGAGAGTTTCAATAAATTCTGTCCACTGAGTAGAGATATTTTCCCAACACACGGATTTTACTGTAACAGTTAATGCAAAGCTTTTAAGCAAATATGTTTCACAGTGTGTTGCCCTCAAAGTATTTGTTGGGGACAGTTCTCATCTACAAATTAATTTTAGCTCAATTTCTTATAAACTGGTTGGGTTATAGCCATTTAGTGAGTTTACTAAATTTGCTATGTTGTGGCGGCCATTATGACAAAAAAAAAAAAAAAGGTTAAACAGTTTAGATGTCAACCTAATGATTGAGTTCTGAAAGTTTAATTAAAGTCCATTCATGGGATGGGAACAGAACAAACAACCACATGTACAAAGACTAAGGCAAAAACCTTATCACTATGCTTTTAGTAGTGGCCGATAATAATCCTCTGATGTAGATAGGTATGAACGTTTTTCCCTTTTTTCGTACGATGACGACGCTGGCCTCTTGTCTCTGTTGTGCTGGCAGACAGAGGAGTTTTACGAAGCAGTGATCAGTGAGGCGAGCCTGATGTGGCTGGAGCAGCAGGGATCACATCTGGGCAGTAAAAGCCAGATGACTGCAAATGCTAATGCAAATAATGGCACAGTTCAGTGAGGCAAATTAAATGATGATTGAACAGACGAGAACAAACGAATGTTTTACTTGTTTTCTGCACATAACAGGTTTTATTATACCGGATTCTGTTTCAGTGGGAAATATTTATCACCCGCTGCCAAAGGCAGAACGAAAATGTTTTATCCTGTGTCTGTCTGTTTTCATTTGTATGTGCCTTTAGCAAAATATCTATTGATTCACTGAAAAACTGTTAATGGAACTTTCAGAAAGTAATCAGTGGGTTAACATCCACGTCTGCAGAACTTTAGAGGTCTGTCTGATTCAAGATGCAAGTCACGCTAATCAACTTTAGCCTGTACAAAAGTGGCAAAATCTTTTGAATTCTGCAGATTCTGAGCTAGAACTTGTGCTAGTAACTGATGATTAATATTGTGTGCTCCTTGCAAAACACTTGGTAGCAAAGAAAAGTAATTAAGCTCAATCATCCAGGTAAATAAATCACCAAAAAAAAAAGAAAGTTTAATCATGTCATCTGGACCGATTCTCCTTGGGCAACAAAGTTTAATTGTCTTGTTCCTGGCTTAGACTATAATTTCCTAGTTCTTTATACCTAGACAAAATGAAAAAAAAAAAAAAAAAAAACTGTTAGATCACAAAATGTTGCTTTTGTGGTTAGGACAAAGCATTTACTAACTTGCCTTTCTACAATGTAAAACCAGCTACTATTGATTTTTAAGTAAGCTAAGGAACCTTGTCGAAGTTTTAGTCTTAAAAATTGATAATTTTGAACACGCAAACAAAAAAAAATTCTAATATATATCTTGAGCTGTCTAGATTTACAAAGACATTTCTAGAATTTGGTACAATTTACTTACGTTTAATCTAAAATGTACTAGAATATTCTACTTGAAACTTTTAAGAAAACATGAGAAAATTGGTTAAATATTGCCCATTTAGTCATAAATGCATATTGTAAGCCACATATGTGTTTAAATGGAAAAACTGGCATATTGTTTGGGGAAAAAAACACATCAGGAACATAAATTGTGTTATACGGTGTAATTTGTTAACATATGATTATACGAGTGTTATGTTCTTTTCAAAGTTTGACATAAATGGGTACAGCTCCATCAAATTTTAAAATCGCTTTAGTTTAAAATTCAGACCTTATATTTGTTGGATGACCTTCAAAATTGAAATTCCTTTAAAAAAAAAACACAAGCTTTGTTATTTTTTATTTTTTTGTTACTTTCCGTGTTATGTATTTCTCTGTAGAAATAAATTATTTACTCAGGTACATGAACTTTTCTGACAATTTTAGTACTTTTTGCAGTAACTTCTGTTTGAGTGGCTGGTGTGTTGTTCCACAGAACAGCTTCAGAGAGTGATGTAATAAAAATGTCTTTGGGAGAGGATATTTCACAGTAACGTAGCAAAGAGAACATGGTTTGAGGCTGCAGCCATAGATCTCTGCTTTCCCCACAGCATCTGCTGTCTGTTGGCATTTGTCAGCAGCTACAAAAGCCAACACAGGCCGACTGGACACTTGCCACCAGCTGCCCCCATGCTCTCCACCACCTCCCTGTTTCCATTAGCAGCCTTTAACTGTAGGGGTTGCAGGATAGCCCAAATTCATTATTTAAAATTCAGGGCTTCATGCCACTTTGTGTCATGTTATCAGTAACATCAGAGCCCTCAGATATGCCCTGCTTTCCATCTGTGGCGTTTTTGTGCCCGTGGAGAAGCGCAGCGGGGCAAAATTCTGTTTAACAAAAAGCTTCCCAAACTGCATCTTCATCACTTCGATTTTCCCCATCGTGATGGATTGTCCCCGTTCATCTGCAGCAGCCAGTTGTAACACAGACACGTAGATGAATGCTGGCCACTCGAGGAGCTGCTGTGCTCCACAATAGAACATCTGCCTCGCTCAGCTGGTGGGACTTTTCTGCTGTAATGAGACACAATAGTAGAATAAAACATTTTCACAGGAAGAAGAGCAAAACGCATAGAGCTCTGGTGCAGGTGGCTGTGGCATTCATGTGGAGTCGTATCATTTAACTATTATCTATTCTTGTAAACAGGAGCAGTGTTGCTCTTGTTTGGTGAACACACAGACCCCATTCAGACCTGGTTTTAAACCTGTCTTTGGCTATTGGATTGCTTTTAAATAGTGCTAAAAACAGGTGTTTTTGGCTTTTATTCACCTAATTAAACACTGAAGTTACATTCACAAGCTGTGCAGCTGTTTCAGTGCACAATGGGATTTTATAAGTTAAATATTTAATCTTTGACACCCCTAATTATTTTATGCTCCTTTACTTCTGTATTTTCTGTTAGGTAATTAAACTTATCAAGAGATTACACCAGAAAAATGTGACCCAAAAGGTTCTGAATTGTGTTGATGTCAAAGGAATAGTTCAGGTCCGATGCCTTGTATTGTAATTCTTACAGAAATATCAGACCTGCTGTCACGCTGTTCTGATAGTCACTCGGTGACATGGCTCTTTGTGTATCTTCAACTTTCATTTGAGTGCAAACAGATTTGCCTGGAGGGAAAGCTCCCATTAGCTATGTTTACATGGACATAGGTAATCTGATTAAACGGCCATTCGGAATAAAAATGTCATGTAAATGCCCCATTCAGATTATTCTTTGTTTTTTCAGCTCGATCCAAAACAGTTTGTAAACAGAATGAGATGGGTAGTTTATGCCGATTCATAATCTGAACAGTGCGCATGT